CTCGGGGCCAGCGCGCCGGCCCTCGGTCCCCGCTGCCGCCCGGTGCCGCCCTACTCACAGCCGATCATCATGATGGCCACGGCGAAGATCTTCTCGATGTCGGTGGACGGGGCGATGTTCCCGAAGCCCACGCTGGTGAGGCTGGTCATGGTGAAGTAGAGGGAGGAGATGTACACCGAGTTCTTGCTGGGCCCGCCCTCCCACCTGCCCGAGCCCGAGCCGTTGAACTGGTAGGGCGTGCCCGCGTCCAGGGCCAGCTGATACAGCCAGCTGTTGTTGCGCAGGGTCTTGGTGTCCTCGTCGAAGATCTCGTAGTCCCCGATGCTGTACCAGATGCAGGCCATCCAGTGCGCGGCCAGCCCGAACACGCACACCAGCAGCACCAGCACCGCCGCCCCGTACTCGATGTAGTGGTCCAGCTTGCGGGCCACGCGCCCCAGCCGCAGCAGCCGCACCACCTTCAGGGAGCTGAAGAGGCTGCTGATGCCCTGCGGGGGACGCAGGGTCAGCGGGCCTGCGGCCCCCGCCGCCCCGCCGGCCCCCGCTGGCCTGGCCTCTGGGCCGGAGCCTAGGCTTGGCGTGAAGGTCAAAGGCTCTGTGGGCCTCGGGTCTACAAGGCCTCACCCCCGCCCTGGGGCGTGGAGGCGGCCGGCCGGGGCCAGCCAGCGGGCGCGCCGGCCTGGTGTGGGTGGTTTCGCTTAACAAAGCATCAAGCTTGGACCTGATTGTGAGAAGCTCAGTCAGCACTCGGTGCCTGCCGTGGCTGGCACTGCGTGAGCCCTTCACGTGTGCGAGCGTGCGAGGCCCGTGACGCAGGAAGAGGATTTCAGGTGTGGCCCAGGCGGGGGCCAGGCTGCTGCGGCCACGTGGGGCGGCGCCTGCTGCCCTCCAGGGACGGCGCCGCCCTCCTGTGCGGCACAAGGCCTCTGCTCTGCAGACTCGGGACTGCGGCTTGCACACGAGGCGTCGCTTTGAGCGTGGCGGTGAGCGAACTGGCAGCAGTTCCCGAGGGCGTCAGTCGGGGAGCTGAAAGCCCGGCCGGCTGGGACGCTGGGCAGTGCGGCGAGCTGTGTCCACGCCTTAGTCTGGGCGGCATCATGCGTGCGTGGCCCAGTGTTGACAGGGCTGGCTTTTTTTTTTAATCATAATAGTTTTTTTTTTCTTTCCAAGATTTATTGATTTATTCATACAGAACTGGGGTGCAGGCCAGAGGCACAGGGACCGTGAGGCGATTCACCAGAGACAGAATGGGGGGCAGAACAGGTCAACTGACGAAGTCCACTGCTGAGGGGAGCAGCGGGCGGGTCAGGAGAGGTCTGCCGCGCCCCGTGGATCACCTCCGGGCGGGGATCGAACTCGCACTGAAGCGGCCAGCTTGCAGGCTGAGCTTTAGCCCGCCACACCACCAGGGATGGCCCTGGACAGGCTTTTTTAAAGTTGTATTTATTTATGCACACAGGGGTGGACGCAGGCCAGAGCTGTAGAGGGTGAGAGGATTCACCAGAGACAGAGCGGGGAGCAGACCGGGGATCTACTGAAACCCACTGCTGAGGGGAGCAGTGGGGAGACAGGAGGGGTCTGCTGCGCCCCGTGGGTCACTCCCTGGCCGGGGGTCACACTCAGGCCACAGTGGCTGCCAATTGCTTGAGAGTGCTGGGACTCACCTCGTGCCACAGGGAGGCTCAGGGCTGACTTTTAGGCATAAAGTGACTCCGAGGCCCGAGCCAGCAG